GTTGCAGAATCATTCCAGAGTAATATGATAGGATTCATACGGCTGTTTGCAGTTTTTGCATCCAAAACTTATGTAAACAAATTGAACGCCATAATTTAGTGAAAATAACGAGCATCTTAATTTTCACATCCAAATATACCTTTGTTAAATCTAGAAATCCCTCATGTTCAGACGAAATAATCCTCAATTTACAACCTGCTCAACTCCCCCTTTTGTTCAGTTGTTAGAGAAGAGATTAGAAAAATGGAATTTTCAAAAATCCATTGTACCCGTCTCAGGTAGGAAAGCACCGATGAGGAATTTTTAAACTTTGCCTGCGTATGCGATACATCACAGAACTGAACCATTCAAAAAATGCGCTTTATCCTTCCTGTTGATCTTTTCTTGAATTGTTTTCTACAGCGATGACTTATCTCGAATAATTAATCAGTAGTCGTCTATGAAGAAATGACGGGTTATTTATAGTACTGTATTTTATAAATAATGGTTTTATCTGTAATGGGTACGGTTCTGTAAAGTATTTATTATTCTTGAAGTTTATTATTAGAAATTATTGGTCTAAGGCTATGGCTTATCTGTGTGTGCGTCTTTAAAACATCACCATCAATACGCACAAAAGATTTATTCATTTTCTCCTTATCGGCGAGCTTCAACTCGAAAAATGTAACGAGTGATTGCTTCCAGCCTCTTCATTCTTTCAATATATTTTTCATCTAGTAAAACTGATATTTATGATATTTAATCCAATTCATTATCGGAGTTTTTGTTTATACTAAAACCAATAATGATTGAGAGTAGAAGTAAGCCCAGTTGACAACAAATCGGGGGCGTGCTTATTAATTTTTGAGAGGGTTAAGAATGAAAGAAAAGTTCTTAGTACAAATAGTTAAAATATTCATACACATTTTTTATTTATTTCATTAAAACTTTGCAATATCGTAATTTACCTAATCGTTGTAGTCATTAGGTGGGCCTTATGAAAACGGAGTAATAATCGTGGTAATTATAGTAGGTACCATAATTTTGTTAGCTGAAGTAGTTCTGCCTTTAAACTATCTTTGTTATATTGGATGTTCTTATTAATTAACCATTCTTGAATTGCTGCTTTTTTCCATGATTGTTTCGGTAATGGTTCTAAATGTCGACTATGGTATGAAGCATTGTCCATGACGATGACAGACTCAGGTTCCACAAGTTGAATGATGCCTTCAAACTCTCCGCATTCATCTCTTTATGATAGTCGCCTGTTTTCTTAGATTTAAATATTAATTCACCATTTGGTAAAAATCCACTGTCGCTTCCTATATGCGTAACTATCAGACGACTACCTTTTCTAGATGGCTGTTTTAACCCAACTGACAAACCTTCAATAAAGGCTTGTCGTGCACTTGATATATTACCATTCTGCCATACTTTTTTGACCATATGTCCTTGGTTAACCCATGTCTCGTCCATGAAGTACAATTTTTTTTTGAGCTTCCGAAATTCGTCAATTTTTCTTAGATAGTTTCTTCTCCATGCTATTATTTCTTGACGTTCAATGAGAATGCTTTTCCTGTCAACTTTTCCGTACGTAAATTTCATTTCGTGTACAAGTTTCCTAAAAGTTTCTTTACCCATTTTTGGGACCAATTCATGATCGCTAAGTGCCTCCAGAACTGTTTGTAGTGTGGGCAGCTCATTTCTGAAAAAGAAACTGTGAATAGTTCTGCGTATACTGGTTTTGGCTTCTTCATCAACTGTGATTTTTTTTCGTCCGCTACTAGTTTTTGGCGTTTGTACGTCCCCATGAATTTCTGCTTCTCTTAGTATTTTGTAAATCGATGATTTTGGTACACCGGTATAATCAGAGCACATATCAACTAATTTATCTTTTGTAATTGTGGAACTTAATGATGTAGAAATGCCCGGTTGGTTATTCGGAGGTACACACGTAGAATTACAGCACATATGCACAAAGTCATCTTTTGGTGGCTGATGATCTTTTTCAAGACAGTGAAATACTCGCAGGACAATTTGTTTTTCTCTTACTGACCGAGACTCCGACCGTTTTACCTTTTTCGACGTGGAAGGCCCGACCATGTCTCCCATTTTTTGAGTAGTTTGAGAACGGTGTAGAAATATAATTATGTAACGCTTAAACACTTATTAGCACTATTATTTTCACCAATTGTTATCACAACACGTCGATTGCTGACTAACTTAACTGTAAAACGTACAATTCACGCTGTATAATTCACAAACCAATGATACGCTCATGGCTGCAAGTACATTAGTGAGGACTGCAACGATGAGATGGAAGTTACGGTAAAGTGACAAAGACAGAAATATCGTTGCGTACAGCGTTGCCACTAGTTGTAATAAATATCTAACACTATACAGAAAATAATGAATTTTTACTGATCAGTAATCAGGAAATGTATAAGTATTACTCATTACAAGCTCATTACTGATTTTTGTCATAAATAATACCTTTTAATCGTACTAGAATTGTGTATTATCTATAATTTGCCACAACCTACAACTCTACTGCTTACTATATTTTGATTCTGCTATAAACTGGTAACGTAAAATTTAGATATGACAACGCGCTTTACTCTCAATCATTATTGGTTTTACTATAGATATTGAGACTTTTCTCATAAATGCGTCGAAACGTACTGCAAGGTAGAGAAAATCCTCAAAATAAATGTTGGGGAAAAATTTTAAGACACTATATTGAAAAGATCGCACGGCAAAATGAATTCAAGCGGCCTCATATAACTATTAGCCTCGCGTGATTAAGAACGGTTGCAATGTATTTTGTTTGACATCCAAGGTCAATGTCGCTTGTATATGAGTGAATTTTGTCAAATGTCATTATATTTAGTTACATTCGATGTGAATCTATGACAGCGCGTGTCGAATATTGAAAGTAAATGAACAACACATCAAAAATCATCATTCTGTACAAGGGTGTTTTATGACAACAAAGAAACTGGTGGCATATAAAACATATGTAAAATTAGATTATTTCAAAATACTAACGAAAAAAATTATTGAAAATGGCAAAACTTTGTTTCAAATGGCGCTCTAGTTGAAGAGCAATTGAAATAAAAATGAATTTGTATGTATAGTCGAAGTAAACGATATTGTGCACTCTTAAAGGTGGCGGCACTCTCAAACACCAAAAACTCCAATACATAGAAATGAACCGGCAGCGAACTAGTCCACGTAGACTTGGCGGTTCATCTTGGACAATTTTTTACTAACCGAGTTTTATGATTGGCTGAAGAGTCATAAAATTAAATTTGAAGTCATGTTACGGTGACGAATAGAAATTGGGGAATGCGGGGATGGTTATCGCCGTCGTGTTCAGTTCAGGAACTGATCGCGGTTTGAGTGTTGAAATTCGATATTGGTGCAGTTATAATTACTTAAAATGTTTGTTATTTGTTTAAAATGTGGTGTCTTTGGATAAGTACCAATAGTAATAACGATTGCGATAACAACGCAGACTTTTTCCATTGTAATGATTCCAATGCGAAAAAGAGATACCAGTGAATAAGATTCGGATGCTTTCGAATATTGAAACATAGAGAGTATGTTTCAATGTATATAAGAATCTACATCTCAAGTTTGATTTCGAGGGAAACAAACTATTACAAGCAACATTAGATTTGACCGAAATTCCTTTCTCAAATAGTCAAAAACAAACCTTACGAACGCAAGACACGATGTGATACAGGATTACCAAAACCTTTAGATGTTCATCTAACAAAAGCATTGATAAAAACAATGTAGGACTGTTACAAAAGCAATGAGATTCCTACTACTGTTATCTTAAGGAAGAAATTGAATACTTCCGGCCATAACGTGAGCTTGCTGTGACAAAACTCTTCAGGATTGGATGCAGAAACTAGAATTTAGATTTTAAATAATGAACAAACGTCAAGCAGTTATGGAAAGCAGAAGAAATAGTGGAATTGCGTAACAAATACTTAGAACAAAAAACTAAATTTAGACAAGAACAACGGCACATTTTCTATTTGTACGAAACTTGGTATGACACTCACGACACAGTAACGGAAGAGTGGACTGATGGTTCGAGAATGTGTACGCTTAACATGCCTGCAAACTGATCATTGTGCATTGCGGAGGAAGTGAAGGATAAGAATATGGAAGCTAATATTTTCGAGGAATGGTTTGAAAATACATTGATCCCAAATTTGGATGTGAATAGTGTAATTTTTTTGACAACGTTTCCTATCATTCGCGATAGCTCATCAAAGTACCGAAGAAATATTTGAAGAAAGATGAAATACAAAGTTTTTTAATGGATAACAATTCATTTTGAAGATTGCTATACCAAAAACCAACTACTTGAAGTTTTACAGATAAATACATTTGAAAAAGTGTATGCCCTTGAGAGTATTGTTGAAAAGTATGGACACACCATACCTACTGAGACTTTCCCCCCTATTTTTGTGTTTTCAATCCCATTGAGTTGATTTGGGGAAAATTGAAACAAAGCATCAGGCGTAAAAATAATTTTCCAAAATTTGGTAAAAAGGTAATAGAGCTAAGTAAAGAAAAAGTATCTAATATTACCGAAGAAGACTGACAGAAAAGGATTATAAAAGTAATTTTAGTTAAAAAAGACTATATGGAGATTTAAATTAGTTAGCTCCCTAACTATATTATTAAAGGAAGAGCTGTTGGAAGGTAGGTTGCCCTATATCGTTTACTTGAACTATAATAGACACCTTCACTTATAATGTTTGGTTTAATTTGACCGAATAATTACTATCACTCAAGAAGAGTAAATTATTTTCTAGTTGTTCTGATGATATTTTCAACGAACTTAGTTGGTACATTCAAAACTGAAAGTAATTATACTCTCGAAAGAATCGTCTAAAAATTCATAGACCCAAGTATAAAACATTGTTTTTTACTTGAAAAATACATTTACGTTTGATGGAAATTCACATGCAGGCCAATATTTATCACACATTTCTTACATGTTCAGTGCAGCATTGCCGTTCTTAGAGTTGAACTTGCCGCCGCTCAGTTTCTCCAGTTCCTTACTCGTGTTGTATTCCTTCAGAGTTTTGACCCTTAAGGGAGTCTTGTGTTTAATTTTGAAGATTGATTTGATTCCCTCGTGTTTCATATCGTCTCAGGGGCACTAAATATTCACACGTATTCGGACACATTCACCGACACTACTGTTAACGGACACCCGCGATTTCAGCCAATAGTTTTTTGCTAAATAGACTTTTTCAAAGGTAAACATTTTCGAAGAACGGTCTTTCCAGCTCAGCCGCTTCGTATCAGGCAACTGAAGGTCGTTGCGAGGAGTATTTATTACTGGAAGGGTCATTAGGAGAATTCTCCGAAAAACCCTCCTATCCGTAGACCTGCCTGGCTACGAACTAAGAACCAATAAAATGGTCAACTTTCATTTCAGGCACAAATGTTTATGATTGTCATGACAGTTTGTAAAGATGGAGGCATGATTTGACCTGCCTCTCGGGAGTTTGTCAGCATATGGATTTGTAAGATTATGGTGTCTTACAGAGTGAACACTTTTGATAGAAATCTACTTTTCGACAATAGGTAATCGAAATATAGAAAGGGTATTNACGCATCATTTGAAAGATCTTTTGTCGCTCTATTACTTCTGTAATTTTTTTTTCGAAATTGGTTCATTCGTTATTGAGAAATTGATTTTTGAACGTTTCATTTAAGAAAAAACAGAAAATTCGTTGTCGCTCATTTGAATTAGGAAATCAGCAACAAATAATCATTTATTTTCTTAAAGATTTATATTTTAAGCAGTCGAATAGTCTGGCGTTTGATATTTTTCTGTTATTTTTCACCTTTCTCCATAAAAAACCAAGTATATGCATTTCTTTTCGCAAATACTCTTTACTACCCTGATAATCAATATCTCGGATGATAGTTTTATGAATTCCCCTAAGCGTAGGAACTCATTTCTCTTTGATATGGAAAATAATTGTGCATCTGCGTAAAGTTGCCAAATCAGCATCATCCATCACAATTTTTCAAGTTTTGATAAATCTCTTTTCATTTGTACCAGTTAAATATTAGGAACAACATGTAAAATGATCAACCGTTAACAATCCACAAAAACGACAGACACATTGAAACCTGGCCACGCAAACCTCTGTCAATTTCAAATTGTCCATTTTTCCCTCCAATTTACAATGGAATTCAGTTTGAAAATTAACCTTCGGGAAGACTCTCCTTCAATATTAATGTTCTTCACTTTCTCAAAATTATACTACAAACCATAACGGTATAGTTGATTCAATCCCTTTCATTTTCAATCATCACGTTCTTGAAAATAACACAAATGTTTATTTTCAGGGGATAAGTTACGACACTATCCTGATAGTTCAGACACAAATCCATATATTTTACTACTCCCATATTTTGAAATTTAAGTGTGAAACGTCTTCTGTCGACAAAACCGTCTCAGTCATACCAATGTGGCAATAAAAAAGTAAAACGTAGCCGTTGCTTCATAAAAAAAATCGTAAAATTTTATTTCGACCATACCATGGTCCGAAAATAAAAGAAATTTCGTCAGACGGGGTTCAAGAAACGAGATTGAAATTCGTCATGTTGAAATACTAAAGCTAGGCCAGAAAGAGTTGAAAAAAAATTAAGATAAGTATAAAACTGTTCAATTTGTTTTGAAATATTGATTGGTTCATTAGATACCAAAATGTAGGTGTTGACAAACTGGTAACTTGTTGAAACTTGGAGCCTATTTAAAAAGGAAAAAAACATCTATTATACCGTATTAATGGAGTCTTTGAAGGCCGAAATCGCGGAAAAACGGCCCCATACATATTTATTTTTAATCAGAATGTTTGTATTTTTTCATGTTGATATTATTTTATTTATAATGTGACAATGTATTTACTATTGTAAATGAATTAGTTTTTCAAC